TGTGTGTTGGTATATACTATTTTTTGTATTTCCAATGCTACACGACAAAAGCAATTTTTAGAAAGCAAGTCATTTATTGTCCACTCAACTTTGGAGTCAGAAAAATTCCCAATAGATACGTAGATTATAACATATATCTAAATCTGTTTTCTGGACTTCTAATTTGTTTTATTTGGTTATCTATTCACTAACCAGCACCCCACTGTTTTAATATCTTAAATTTAGAATGTCTTAGTAGCTAATATTGGCAGATCACCCTTTTTAACATTGGGCATGCTATCCACAACATCGTAACTTAAAATATTGACTTTCATTATTATGAATGACTTGCCTTTTATTCTTAATTAGCGACATGTTAATTTTATTTCTTAATACAATATTTCGGTGGCCATGCCTTTGCGTTTTAAAATTGGCTCCATTCTTTGACTTGGAAGTTTTAAATATGATAAAATTAGAGATGGTTTTTAAAATAAATGTATCCTCATATATTTTTAATGTAGACACTTTTTTGGCAAACACGAATAAAATTTGGGAAGTAAATCTTTGCTTTACACAGGAAAAGAAAATTTCACTGACATGTCAAGAAGAAAGAGAATTCCATTTGTTAATTGTATCCTATAGTGATTCATTATTTTTCACTAAAGTAACAGCAAATAAAATTAAAAATCTTGAACTGTTTTATGAATGCTCTTTGCAAGTGATAATTCTAATGAAAGTCTATCTGTGCTTTAAAGGTGAGAATGATCATTGAACGAGATAAAGAACAGGATTCCATTTTAGCAGTAGCTTAGAAAAACAAGAAAGCTGTGTATTAAATTTTGGAAAGTCGTACTTATTCTTTCCAATGAGTAAAACATAATTTGGTCCATTTCAGCCACAACTTGCGACATAAAGGATGCAAGTTAGGAAATGGTCCCTTGGCCCACTCGCTACGCACGCAGATCCGGTCAAATGGAAAAGATGTGATTTAAATGACTTAACTTTAAGTTTCTTTGCATGTAAAACAATAATAATGATAATCATTATAGGGTTAATTATGATTATCATTATAGGGTTGACTAAGGAGTTAGCAACCTGGCCGGTTTTAAATCTTTGACATTCACTTACTTGCCAAGTTATTGAAATCACAGTTATGTGAGAGTCATACTCTCGATCAGCAGAGGTCAGTTCCCACTAAACCCGTGTCCGCTTTGCTCTTTTAGGACAACACGGTAGGCATTTTTTGTGGTATCATGAAATTACTTATATCCGCAACTCGTACGATGTAACACCTTTGTTATATACTCATTTCTGTGTAAACTAAGGGAAAAGAAGAGAAAAAATACACACAGAATGAAAATCAGTCTTCTCTTCATTGGTTTATTTTTTACTTTTTTTGATGGAAAAATCAGCATTGTCTCACAGCTAAAGAAACAGAGGCACAAATACAGTCGGAAAGGAAATCAGGAATTTTCTCCTATTTGTGGAAACTGATGGCTTAAGTTTGTCCAAAACAAACCTCACTATTTAGGAAAGAAATTCTATCTAATGCATTTATTTGGAAGACATTTTTGTAATATCCGTAAGAATCTGTGGGCTATTTTGGAAAAATCTTCCCCGTTTTTAGGGATACTGATTTCGTTGTCGCTAAGCAGCTGCCTATGACCTTGAACAAAGGAGAAGTCTTGGAATGCCATCCTGCGGTCTGCATGGACCTGTTCTCTCCAGTTATTGCACAAAGGAACAGTTTAATTCCAATTGGAATATAGGTCTGTTTGAGTTTCAGGGAATAATAGAGTACTGTTGATCATTTGTGAACTAGAACAAATCAACCACAAGAGGGCATAATTTTCTTGGTTTCATCATTTTTATACAAATAAGGCATGCCTTGAGTAGGTATGATAAGAATCCCTCCTCCTCCCCCACCTTCTCTCTGGCTGTCTTAGAAGAATACACTGTATCTAAAGTATGCTCTAGGGGTGGAGTGGTGTTGGTATGAGTTATTAACAAAAGCAAAGTTTAAGATGACATTTTTTCATATATGATGTAAGTTATATGATGATGAAAGTTGTTTATTTTCCTAAAATCCTTCCTTGGGGATGTTGGTTGATGTAAGAACACTGCTGAAAATTTAAAAAATTAAAAAACAAGGAGTCGTTTGTTTGACTATAAACCCCCCCTCCTTTCTGCAACAGCTATGTGGAGTCCTGTATCAGGCACAGAAAGGCTTTCTGACCTCTAGCAAATGTTCATAGGTTTTCTTTTCTGAGATCTCAGGACTTGAGCCAAAGGGGTTGGGCTGTGTTTTTATTTTTATTTTGAAGTGCATTCCTGCTGAATTTAATTATTCACCACACCCCAACCCAGCTGAGTAAACAGAACCTTCAGATTCTGGCTTGGAAAGGTTTTGAAAAACAGCTGATTTTTTCTTTTTGCTTCAAGGAAAGTCTCTGTGGCAGGGTGCTGTATCGCGGAGGGCGGTGAGGCCAGAGTCAGAGCAGCTGGGTGATCCTTCCTTCTTCTTGGTCTTGGTTTCCTCACGTATAACATCAGGGCTGCGAGGTCTCCAGGCCTCTCCTAACTCTGAATGTTTATGATTATTTAGGATCTTATGAGTTTAAAACTAAAGGACACAAAGCAAAGTTCTAACAGTTTTACATTCTGATTAACTGACCATGAATGGTCTTCTGTCCTTATCTGGTGACGAGAATCAGGGCTACAGTGACTTCTGAGGGTTCTGTGGACATATAAGTAATACCGAAATGCAGATGGAAGTCGTGTGTTCTTGTCCCTCACTAAATAGGATCTAATGATCTTCATATGCAATTAAGGATCCAGCGATGAGTAGATTGCCACAATCAAATGAAACAGATGGCAAAAGAAATATCTGAAGTTTATAAAGGGCAAACACCTGATGGAAGATCAGGAGGTGGGTGATTGCTCTCAGCCCATGCCATCACTGGTTCCAGTTAGACGTAAACTAACATATATTCCAGTTTTCCCATAGGAGTATAACAACATTTCCCATCTGTCAGTACTGATATGCTAAGATGCGGGAGCACATTCATAAAGTAGTATTTGTCATAAGGCAGAGAGGTGTTATGTATGACCAAAGTATGATTAGTTTTATAGAAGTGACCCTGAAAGGCTTGGGTTTCATCTCCATTTTCCTTGTCTCTCGCATACAACTTTGCAATTTGTCTTTATGTATTTCCTTTCAAATTTACCAAAGTTGTCTTTGTTTTGTGAAGAGAAAACTGTACAGAGAGAACTAGGACTAAAAATTTTGTTGGAAAAGAACCACAGGCTAGTACCTTCTGCTGAAAGTGCAGCCAGATCCTCTGAGATCCTGCTAGATTTATATTCTCGACCCGGTAATGATCCTTCTCCTTTCTTCTGGGCAGAAGCAGCTATATGTGGAGTTGGAGAAGCCTAGAATATACCCATTCTCGCTCTACCCACCCCTGCTGCCTTCCTCTTTGACTCCCAACATAGATCCATGATTCCTGAAATTCTACAATTAGAACTTCATTCTTTGGCTTCATTCAGCATCCAAATGTAAACCTTTCAGAAATAGTGTATTTCACGTTATCTAACAAATACCTACTAACATATGGTAAGAATCACTTACTCACATTCAATGTGCCAGCCCTAACGGCGATGGGTGAGGGGTGGTATGTCACAGAGGAAGAGTTGTGACAAGCGTACTTATTGAGCAATTTTCCAAGCACCTGGAAAGTACTGTTTTTTCTTTCCTTATTTTTTCCCTCTCAGACTGAAACAGGCATAGCTGCAGCAATTAGGTAGCTCTAACTGATGATAAACACAGCTCTTTCAGTGCAACTAAGGATCACTTGTTGAATCTTGAATAGCCACTCTTGGAAATCAGCTACACTGTATAATACACCTTCCATTTGAACCAAACTTAATGTCAAATAGACTTTTCCCACTGAGTGGTGCTGCAAGAATCCAGAGAGGGTATTAGCCTTACAGGACACATTGCCAAATTGCTTCTGGTGACAGTAAACCCCAGACTCTTAGAGAGGACGGTACCACCATGCTGCTGGGGTCCTGTACAGTTAGTAGCAATTCAGAAATCAATCGACTGAAAACAAGGCGACTGATTATCATCATCATATCCACTGCCTGCATTAACTCATTTAACCCCCAAATATCTGTTAAACACCTACCACATACGAGACACTCAGAGAAGTACCTCGAGGATTGCGAAGCCGCGGACACAGCCGAGGCCATTCATCACAACTCTGGGCTGTGCAGCTGACTTTGCCTGCTGTGTGTTCAGAGTAATTAAAAGGAAGGAAAGCACAGAGCCTGGTTTCCAGACGTTGTCTTCTCATGGTATATTCAGGATGCCCTAGTTAACGCAGTCTACATTTGAAGTCAGGATACTTCAAACTAAATCAGTTCAGTACAAATTTACAGGCATTGTTTTAGGGGCTGAGAGAACACAGACACAAAACAGCCAACACACTTGGCTTGCATAACTAACTATGATCTAACATGAAAAGGCCTTCGAATAGTGAAATCAAAGTTCTTTGGGAAAACAGGAGGGTGTGATGAATTCTGTAGGGGTTTTGTGGAAAAGGTTGAAATAAGCAGAGGGAGATATCATTTGGTTTGCATATATTAACCTAGAATTTAGACAGGAAGGAAAAAGGGGAAATCCAGAGTTAACCACGATTCTAGCTAAACACAATATTCTGGTCAATGAAGTGAGAGAATTACTAGAAAATTCATAAATAGAGAGTTTTTAAGGATCAAAAACTACTCATTGTGTACACACCATACGCAAAAAGCTAAACTACGCTGTGGGAGACAAAGGAGGTATTTTGTCCTCACACGGAGCTTGCAGTTTGGATTGAGAGGCAATGGCATAAACAAATAAAGAGGATATAAACATACACAAAAATGCAATAAGCACACCAAGGATATGGTTAATTACAAAATGAGTGGTAGAACATTAACTATGAAGCATTGAGGAACAAAAGTTGCTCTAGGTTCGAATAATCTATAGGGACTTAAATTTTCTTTTCTCTAAAGAGGAAAATTATAAGTTTGGTTGGTTGACAGTCAAAACCAAAGTCACAGAGATGGGGCAGCATGAGATATAGGAAAGAACCTTGGTGAGAGTTAGAGACCTTGAGTCCCTCCTGAGGCTGGCTCTGCCACCAACTACCTGTGACTTAAAATGACTCATTTGGTTTCTGTGGCCCTGAGCTCTCTGCTGCTGAGGGGAGGCTGAGTGAGGAGTCTCCTCCCCACTTGCAGCTCTTCCACTGTAGCCATTGTCTGCTCACTACCCCCAAACCAAAACACCCCTTCTCATTCGCCAAGGGAGCTCCGGGGCTTTAGAAGCTGTGCTCTTAAACCAAGCTCACAAATGCAGGACCCCGGGGCTGCGTTGTTCCTACAACTCCATCTCAAGTCAGCTTTATGTTTTGGACTAGCAAGTGCAAGGTGTGTGACTACAGACCTAGAGTTCCAATGACAAAAGGATTGACCATGCAGCTGATAAGGCCCAAGCCTCAGGACTCATCCCTTGCCCAGGCCCTTTCCGTTACCCTGAGGCGGCCTGAGAATGAATTCACATGGTCGTATGTTTTTGTAAAAATCTGTAAAATTAAGCTATTTCTGCATAATTTTCTTTAAGAGGATCCCATCTCCAAATTGTCTAAGCTGCAGTCTCCTCCAAATGTGGATCCACTCTGGTCCCCATAAACTTCCAAGTTTCCTGTTGCATCACCAAGGGATGCACAAACCAACCAAGGAAACCTCCTAAGACATATCCTTGCTGGCCTGGTATGAGGGAAAGAGGAAAGAAGACTTACATCTTGGTATTCTTTTCTTTCTTTCCCCTGTTTGTTCCTTCCTCGGTGCCAGCCCCTTAAGGGAGGGCTGATCTTTGTCGCTCATCCCCCTGTCTGCTCTTTCAAGGCCAGTCACAGTGGACGGGTGTTTTACCTACTGGAATCTAGCTACTTTATTTAACCTTAAAATTTGTAGGACAGTGTCCCGTTTTTTCCCGCAGCTCCTTAGAGACTTTATGGTATCGAATAAACAGGTCCTAAGTCATCCAGGCGCAGGCTCAAACAGCAGAGGATTCTTTACAGACAGAGTGCCCTACCCGGAGGAACACCCCTAGGCGCGCCCGGAGCTGTCTGGGATCTGCGCTGTGGCCCCGCCAGCAGGGATAGCCTTCTAGCAGCACGCCCAGGGGGGCTGGCGCGCGCCGGCGGGGGCGAGGGCTGGGGGAGGAGACCGGAAGGGGAGAGGTAATCCCTGGCGGTTGCAGCAGCCCCTTTTTAGAAAGACTCAGTCTCTCCCCGGACAGCTGCTGTGGTCGCTCCACAAACTTCAAAGGCGCCCTTCCTCTTGGACTGCGCCTCCTCGCAGCTCCCACGCCCCCAGCCCGCATCCCCTTCCTCTGTCCCTGAAGGGACAGCAGGCTGAGAGAGCGGGAGTGAGGAGTTGGCGGCAGGTAAGGCTGGTTTCAGGTCACCTGCTATGCCAGTAGGAGGGCAAGTTGGGAACCGCGGTGGTAAGCAAAGGTGACGGAATTTAGGAGTGGCTGTGGGTCCGAAGTGAGGATGCGGAGCGGCTGGGGAAAAAGGAATCGTCCTGGGACGGAGAAAGCGCCCCGGAGCTGACGGAGGGGCCGCGCCAGGGCCCAGGCGGGTCGCTCCAACCCCCTCGCCGCCCCCTCGCCCTCCCGGCCAGAGCCCGGCGGCCCGCCGGCTAGCGGTTTGCCTCCTCGCGCACCCGGGAGGTGCGCTCGCCCTCGCCCTCGCGCAGGCGCAGCGGAGGCGGCGGGCAGCGCGTTTGCAGTAGCCCCCAGGCTGCCGCCGGCTGCAGGTTCATTTGGCGACGTCTCGCTGCAGACCGAGGACCCGGCCGAGGGCATCTGCGCCCTCGCTCGCCACTTTCCGGGTGGGCCGCGGAAGGGCATCGGGAGACCTGGCTGCTAGTTTGGTTGTGGTGCTTTTGGGGAGACATGGGGGACGCCTTTTGCTTGGGGCGGGAATCGCGGCGCTCTGGCTCCATGCAGCGTGCGTCCTTTCTTCCAGAGCCCGAGGGGAATGTTGGCGTCGGGTGGCAGCCAGGCGCTGGCTGGCAGGGAAGCGCGGTGCCTGCAAACGCGCTCTTCCCGAGCGGGGCATCCCTTGGCAGCCTGGGCTTGGCTCGCTCAGGAAAAGCCTGGATTCGATCCGGCTGGGAATTGGAGCCCCGGGTGTTCCCTCCCGGCCCGCTGCCGCCGCGCCCCGAGGGCACGTGTTACTGGGCCAGCCTGGCCAGTTCTCCTGCTCTCCGCACTTGTGCTCGGCCTCGGGGACAGAGGTGCTCGGCCTCGGTGCCAGCGCGCGGAGGGGACTTGACTGGAGGCCGAGCCTCGGCGTCTCGCTGCAGCCTGCAGTCCAGAGCCCTGGACGGCGGCGCGCTCCCCGCCGCTGAGGCCGGTAGGTGCCGGGTGCCGCGCCACGGAGACCCGAGCTAGACAGGCGGACTTGCTGCCTTTTAGCCCCTAGGGAACCCGTAATGAAAGGCAGGTGTCTCCACAAGGTCATCACTCCAGTGCCGCCTTCCCTTCTCCCGCTCCGAGGCCAGACAGCGGGGAGGATGAGCAGGAAGAGTCGGGATATTGCTGTAACTCTGTCCAGCCTCGGAGTCGCTGAGGCTTGCCTGATGAGCTAAAGCTGGCCAGAGGAGCCACTGCTAACAGACTACAAAGTGATGGTCCCGCTCAGGGAGATGGGAAAAGACCTTGGTTCTTGGAAGAGAAAGGCCAGGATATACAGGAAGGTGATGTGGGAAGAGAGAAGAATAGGGTCAAGCGGTAGCCTAGAGACAATAAGACGGTACTGATCTGGATTGCCAACATTTCAAATGGAATTTTTGCCCATTTATGAAATGGAAAATTGGTGGAGAAGGGAAGGGGTATTTCTCTAACACTTATTGCATCCCATGGGCTTTGTACGTTATCACGATTAACATGCCCAACGATACTACACAAGGTGTTCTTGCTTTTTTGTGGATGGAAAAAAGGCGGAGAGACACAGTTAGAAATGGGTGACGTCCTCCTCTGGCCCTTGCAATCTTAACCAAGAATTATAATTTTTGAAAATAGTATTGATGGTTAGGGGAGTGGACAAAGCAGTTGTTCTCCTTTTAGAGATGGGAATGAGATGTCAAAGTGTGAATTGATGTGTGCAAGTACAAGCTGGTGAGGGGCAAAGCCGAGACCGGCACTGTTTTAGCTGCATGTGGAGCACCTTTCAGGGACTTCAGGCCACTTTCGGTGACCTCGCTGTAAGGGACGAGCTTTCTAAGATCACTTTGACGCTGTATCTGTAGATTATCATTTGTAGGGGAAGAACACTCACAAAGTTAAACGGGATCAGTGGTTGAGGATGCATATGCGCCATCGAGTCTGTAGGCCGTGAATCACATGGACATGATATTAATCATCTATATTTATACAGTTCTTATTGTACCTTATGGGAATTGTTAGTGGCTTTAATAACGTTTCTAGAGGAAAAATGAAAACCAAAGAAACATATTTTGTCAAATGGTAACCCCACGGCTGTGTTGAGAAAATTTCCTGAGCTCAGTAACGTTTTCCTTAGTCTACTTTACTGCTTTCATGACCTGAATCCCTCAAAAATGACTTCCTGTTTGACCACCACTGGTTTCCCTTTCTAAGACTCTGTTGTCCGCTCCCTTCGCAGGAGTAATGCTGTGACGCCTGTCACTTTCCTGCTGAGTCTCTGAGAAGGGAGACCAAGAAAAACTGGGGCAATGCAGAGTGTTTTGGAATTCTCAGCAGACTAGAATCAACATGAGCAGAAACTAAGGGTAAAAGGGAGATAAAGAATTCTGTGGCTTTTCTTTTGCCTTCTTGTAGAATTGCCTTTAATGAATTTTGATTTCTAGTTTTTCATGGGAAAAATGTGCAAAGATGAACTGAATATTTAATCTCTTTTTGTGTGTGTGTGGGGAGGGTCGGTAAGGGTGGGACTGGGAATTGTTTTTGCTGGCAGAGAAGGTCAGGAATATAAACAATTACAAAGGCAGAGGAAGCACATGTACTGTTTCCAGTGATAGGGTATAGGTTTAAACTGGAGTCACTGAGCTGGCTCACTCTCACATCTTTTCTTTACCACATCTAAGAAATACGTTGTTTGGGGTTGGAGTTAAATAAGACAGGCCGTTGCATGGTGCCTACTTCTTATTCTTCATACTGTGTTCTCTTTCCATTGCATGGGCACTTGTGAACTACAAAAAGGTTTATCACAGACCTGAAAGTGTTTCTGAAGATGTCTTCTGGAATTGGCAGGTATGTCTGTGGCCCAGCTTGTGTTGACTGCTTTTACAGAGTTCTTAGGTTAAATCCTCCCCAATCTTATGAAACATTCGGAATATCAACTTCCCAGTCTGGAGGGGAAAACATTCCATTTGGTGCTGGTTTAATGAGTGTTAATATGTCTTCAGATGGTTTGTTATAGCTTCATGATTTTGGGCAAAACAAATGTGACTCTGAACTTTCCTGTTGTGTCTGGGAGATCTCATGCTTTGATGACATCTGCTCCTTGGGAAACATTCCTGTCAATTCACAAATGATTTATTGAAAGAAGAAGAGTAACTGTAGCTCTATTTTGAAAAGTTGCTATTTCTCTATTTAGGGCCGGCCCGGTGGCATAGTGGTTGAATTTGTGCGCTCTGCTTCAGCGGCCTGGGGTTTGCGGGTTCGGATCTGGGTGCAGACCTATGCACCACTCATTGAGCCGTGCTGTGCTGGTGTCCCAGATACAAAATGGAGGAAGATTGGCACAGATGTTAGCTCAGGGACCATCTTCCTCAGGCAAAAAGAAGAAGATTGGTAAGAGATGTTAGCTCAGGGCCAATCTTCCTCAGCCAAAAATAAAATAAATAAGGTTAACCATACCTCCATTTGGAAAAGTTGTTATTCTTTCTGTAAATAGCTGGAGCCGTATGGAGCACACAAGTTAAGTGGTAAGTATTTCAACACTCAATAACGTGTTCCCTGAAAGGAAAACGAAATATTCACATTTGTGAAATAAGTAATAATAACAATAACAGTATTGATTGACCATGGACAAAACTTATCCCATTCCTTCCTACCTCAAAACTTGGTGAAAAAATACTCCCTCGTTCTAAGAAACGTTGGCCCCAATCCCTTTTTATTTTTCCATCTTCATCACGCCTTTCAATCTAATGTTCTAAGTTTTCAATCATTTGTTTTCTTCCTTACTTTTGTCCTTGTTGATGATTCCTGACTAGATCATGAGAACCTTGAAGAAAGGAATTTGTCTTTTCTGACTTTTTATCCCTTCAGGTTAGTACCATGCTAAGCATATTTGAGATTCTTGGCACATATTGAAGTCTGATTAATTACGCAGTCAATAGAGTGATTTTGAATCTCTTCCTTGCCTATAAAAGATTTTATGCTTTACTTTCTCTGAGCTTTTAGGAAGGAGAGTTTTCTCTTATTTCTGAGTTGAACCTTGTCATAGAAAACAGTGGTGAGACGCTCAGGGTTTTATCGTAATACGTAACATCCAAGAGTGGTGTGATGATCATGTGAAATAGGGTATATAAGAATAGTTAGTAAAAAGTTGCATGCTACAAAGTTATGATTTTCTTTTGAAATTTTTTGTGTCTTTTAGAAAGACCCCGTTGAGAGATGGCAGCATCCACATCCAGGTTACTTCACCTTAACTTGAAGTACCTAAATAATAATTAGAAAGAAGATACAGAAAAAGCAAAATTGGCTATAAACAAGAAATACACCGATAAGCAACTGCAACACCTTTGAGATTATTTTGAAATTTCAGTAATCCTAATGAGATATACTTCAGTTATTAGACAAATAAATATGACATTAAAAAGTGAAGTGCTTCAAATCACTGGAATATATAAGGAATATACTGTTCGTACTGAGATTTTCAATAAATTTGATGACTTTTAATCTTTGTTAATATTTGATCATTTGTCTCCATGTCAATTCACAATATTTAATCATTTCTAACGGTCACGAACCAGGACATCTTGAACCAGCGTGCGAATCTTTCACTGGTAAATTTAGACAGTCTGTTCATTCTTTTACAAAGCTCAACCAACTACAGATGTCACCCTCCCATAGAAGTGTGCACAAGAAATTGAGATTTAGTGACCAAAGGCTCCGAGAAGAGTCTCTGCCTGTCTGATCGTGAACCTGTCATCCCTTTAAAGATGTGACATCTTCTGCTCCAGAGATTAGGAATGCCGTACTTCACGTCCCTGTTTCTTCTAGGGGGCATTTAACAGAATACTTAACATTTTGTTTTGAAAGCTGGTGGTTAATAATGTGTTCTGTGAGTGAGTTTTACTAGCAAATCACAGGAGAAACGGAAACATTTTGCTGTGTTTTTCTAATTAACTCGAATGAAGCATTGTGAAATGGGACTGTTACTGCTAACGGCAAAGTCAATTGCATAAGCAAGAGAGTCTCGATTACTGAGTATCTGAAAAGAAACATAGGGCAGGACTCTTGCTTTCGTGGAAAATAAATTGGGATAGGAGGAGAAGCTGACAGTAAGCTGCTATCAGATAAACGGCCACTGTGTGTCAACACGGAGTTCGGAAAATGTGTGCAGGGGCTGCCTCTCAGCACAGACCCCGCAGTCGGGTGGTGGTGGCAGGTCTGAAGCTGACTGGCGGCCCCTGAGTCACAGGTCTGTTGGAGCTGTGACTCACAGTTGGGGGACTCTTCCAGACATAGAGGGGTTCAGGTGCTCAGTGGCTGAAACGAATGACAACTGTCAGCTGCATGTCACAGAGAAGCCAGTGATTTTCTCCCCTCATAAGCAGCTCAGAGGGAGGCAGTTCTAGATCGGGGCAGTGTCAAGACTGTCATCAAAGGGTGTCTGTGTAGCGTGTTGACTTGTTGCCTAATGGGCCCAAGAGGGCACTCCCGGCCAGCACATCTAGGTTCAAGACAGGAAGAAGGAACAGAGCTGTGCCAACGGTGTCCTTTTCCCCTCTGATCAGGGAGCTAGAAGCTTTTCTAGAAACCACAGAGATCCACTTAAATCTCATTGACCCAACTTTTGTCAAGAGAAGCCTGGAAACGAGGGAAGCTGGGAGATTATTTCACTGCCCCAACCCCAAAGTGGAATTTCATGAGAGCAGAAAGGAAAAACTGGAGACAGAGTGAGCAATGAGCACGGTTTGCTTCGATCAGCACTTCCCCCGAAAGGGCGATTGGAATCAGCCCCTTCTCCCCATGTGCTTCGAAACTCTCCTGGGGTCGCGAAGCCAACCTGGCGGGGGCAGGACCTCTCCGTCCCCAGCATGAGGGGGTGGGGGGCGTTGCCGTTGGAGATGCCGGTCACAGGATGCAGAGCCCCTCGCTCACATTCTCAGCTTCTGTGACATCACACTGGGACTCGTGCCTTCTACCCTGGGCCGTAGCTTGGGAGCTCACTATCTCTTGAGCGACCGCTTTGGAGATAGGGCTCCTGGAGCCAGTGTTGGCAGGGCGCCTGTGGGCGCTGGAGGTGCCGCCATGCGCTCTCGCGGGCTGGCCGACCTCAGGGCCTGCTTCCCTGGATGATCCCGAGCCTCTGTGCCGCCCTCAGCGCAGTGATGCTGCTTGTCCTGAGTGGCCTGTTCTTTGCTTTCCCGTGAGTCTCCCACACAGGCCGGCAGGTTTCTGACAGACACAGAAAGAAAAAGAGATGATGATAACATGGAGCAGGGGAAGTGCAGAAGAGGGGCCATGGAAGGGAGGCTATTGTAGGCAGAGGGACCTGAACGCGCAAAGGCACCGAGGCATAGAGTGCTTGGTGCCCCTGGGAGCTGGTGGTGGTGGGTCGTGTTGGGTGACATCTGGTGGAGCTTCTATGGATCTGTCACTAGCCTGGATATTGATGGCAGGCTTGAAGGTCTGTGAGTCCTGACCAGGTGGACTGAGTCCTGGGGGGAGCTCAGGGCCTCCCGCAGATCAGGGCTGAGTCCTGCTCTGGTCTCAGTTGCAGATGGCTGCTCCAGAACGGCGAGTGGGTCTATCCTATTGTCACGGGCCCCCTCTTCGTACTCAGCTTCTGCAGTCTCATCGCCCTCAATGGGTCAGACCCTGGCATCCTACATCAAGGTGAGTTCTCGGCCCCTGGGAGAAGGAGGTAGCAGCCGAAAGGCTCCTGCCTGCACGGATGATTCCTAACATGCTCCCCACTCCCCTCCCGGGCCTCAAGACCCCTTCTCCCCCCTCCTCACCTGCTTGGGCCCTGCTTCTTTGCTTCCTGACCCAATCCGCCAAGATGTGGGAAAGAGAATTCTGGAGGTTTCCAGTTACCCTGGAGGGGAGGGCGGGGCAGACCAGGGAGAGAAGCCCGGTATTGACAACCACTCAGTTCTCTTCTTCCTTCCCACTGCACACACTCCTGAAAGCATCAGTCCCAGTTGCGAAGGCCTGCGTCCTAACAGAGCTCCTCTGGCTGCAAATTACCTTCCCTTGGGCTGCCAGCGTCTCCCAGTTCGGTCAGCCAGCCGAGTGGGGACCGGTGATTCCCATGCCCAGCTCCTCCCCACCCTTCCTGGAGCCGTGTGATGCTGCGGGGCTGCCCCCACCCCTGCCAGCAGCAGAGTGATGGAAGGGCTCCTGCTGCTGCCCAATCCTCTTCCCATGCCAGGCTCCAACGAACTGGACCCCATGATGATGCCTGTGGTGTGGGTGAACCACATGGCCTTCCACCTGCAGTGGTGCCCAAAGTGCCGCTTCCACCGCCCGCCCCGGACCCACCACTGCCCCCGGTGCAACATTTGTGTGGAGGTGAGCACCCCTCTCATCTGCCCCCCTGCCCCCTCCCAGCCCTGCCCTGAACTCGGCTTGGGCCAAGAGGCCCATTGACTCCGGGTGCCCGTGGCAGGTGTGAAAACACTACCAGGACTACAAAAGGCCAAGGGTGGCAGTAACTCCCAGGCACTCTTGGTCACTCATGCAGGTCACTGCGTCTGTGCCTGCTGCTGTCCTGGGAGGCTGGCCCTTGCCCACCCAGGTGCTGACAGGCACAGGTGCATCCACATCTATGCTTGCCCTGTCAGGCCAGGGGGAGGAAAGGCACCCGTGTCCTACCCCAGGCCTCACTGACACTAGATGCCCAGGGGGCCTATGGCCGGCTGCAGATCTGGCCTGGGGAGATCCGCCTGTCCTCTTCTGGGGCTCCAGGCCCGACAATCTTCTGGATTCTGAGAGCTTGTCTCTCCTGTGTCTAGCCTGCCAAGGTTTACAAATGTGCTGTCTTCTCTCCTGCTTACAACCCAGAGAGGCTGGGGGGTGCGGGGGGCTGTGTCATTCTTACTCTCATTCAGTGGATGTCAAAACAGAGGTCCTGCTGAGGGTACAGCAGGAAGTGTCCCACAGAAGGCTAGGCGCACCTTGTCTCTAGAGGCCTCGTGTCAAGTGACCTTGAGCCACAGAGCCCCAAAGTGCTCTCACCACAGAAACGCCAGCGCTAGCGACATTGTGCCTCAGGTTTAGGGGCGTTGGAGGCTGGGCCACGGTCAGGATCTGGAGGGCGCCCCCTCTCACTCTCGCCCAGGACTTTGACCACCACAACAGGTGGGTGAATAACTGTGTCGGGCACCGCAATTACCGGCTTTACCTGCTGCTGGTCCTGTCCCTGTGTCTATACACTCTCGCCGTGCTGGTCGCCTGTGTGATGGTCCTGGTGCGCACGACCCACCTGCCCTACGGTCTGGACAAGATCATCACGTATCCACCAGGCTGGGGGCCCACTTTGGGTGAGAGGAGGAGGGCTGGGAGAGCCCAGGTGTGGGGGCAGGGAGCAGGGTTCAAGGCGCGGCTCCTTAGCTCCAGCGCAGCATCGTGGTGGCTGTACCCGCCGCCGGCTTCCTGGTGCCTCTCTTCGTGCTGCTGCTCATCAAGGCCTGGTCGGTTAGCAAGGCTGAGCGCTCCCACGAGGGCAAGGTATGTGGGCCCGGGGGAGCCAGGACACCGGGCTGTGGGCGGTCCCCTTGTCCCTCCCGGACCTCCGCACCTTCCACTCTTCCTCCACCGCCCTGGTCCTCATGGCCTGCCCTCCCTCGAAGGTGCCTCCTTAGCCCTTCAGACCCTGATTCAGCTCCTGTGGTGCCTCCACTGGGGCTCAGTGTCACTCTCCCGACTGGGTGCCCTGCGTCCAGGGCCTCCTGTGTGCCAGGTCGCGCATGCAGTATTTTGAGCGCTGTGCGCAGTGGTGAGTAAGGCTCCATCCTGTGCTGGTGGTGATGAGGAGCCTGAAGTCAGAATAACTCCCGCCAGAGGCTGGTGAACACTGAGAGAGGGGCCTGACCGCTCTGTGCAGCACAGACTCAGAGAGGGAACGGAGAGTTCAGAGAGGACCGCGGTGGAGAGGTTTTGGGTGGGCGAGGGCAGAGGGGAGGGCATTGCAGGTGAGGGGAACAGCTTGCCAAAAGGCAGGGATGCCCGAAAGTGTGCGGACTGTTGACGAGATGGTGACGAGACAGTTGTAAATGGAGCAGAAAGTGGATGGGAAATGAAGTGGCCTCCTTGGCACTGGCCAGACGGAAAAGGCTCCGAACGTCAGGTGGAGAAATTGAGTCTTGGGACCAGGAACCTGGGAGCCACGGCAGGACTCCTTTTTTTTTTTTTTGACATACGGTAAAATTCACCTTTTTTAAGCACCCGATTCTATGAGTGTGGGCAAGCACAGACAGTCCTGTAACCACGACCATAATTCAAATTCAGAACAGTTCCGTCAGCCCCCAAATTCTCTGACGGTCTTTTGCAGTCAATATGTCCCCATACCTGCTGCCCCTGGCAACCACTGAGTTGTACTATCCCCATAGTGTTTCTCTTTCCCGAACCTCCTGTAAATGGAATTCATAGACTTTTGAGTCTGCTGTGTTTCACGTAGCAAAATTTATTCAAGATTCATCCGTGGTGTTGCCTATATGAGGAGGTTCTTCCT